GGACTTTCGAGAAGACATTAACTCAGTTGGACTTGGAGAACAGTGTCGCATGTGGGCTCCCACTCCAGCCACCCATGACTTGCTCTGTCGAGTGCAGACAAGTCTCAGAGAATCTCAGGCATCACCGGGACGGAGGGTGAGTGTCATAGTGCCCGAATCGGGACATGCATGACATGCCAGAACCACAAGCCCCGTCCCTGCAAAAAGAAATCGGGATGGAAGTAGACACAAACTCTTTTGGTCTCGAATGGGACCTTTTGTGCATGTGGAACATGTGCGGAGTGGAAACACGGGCATCTAGCTCCAGCTAGCCACTAGATTGCTTTCCCCGCCTAGATCCATGTCACAAGAAATCCGGTTCAATCATGGAAGGTGCCACAGCATCCTTTGGCTTTGTCCGGGCTCGGCGCCTCGCGTCGATGCCGGCGCCCTCCGCTCGCTCACGCTGCCCACCTAGTCCAGAATCCGGAACTGTTTTTTCTTGCTTCATTCGTGTGCAGCGGGGTCAAGAAGACAGAAGTTGACTTACATCGAGGAAACCAGGGCTCTAAACGATGTGGACTACACGCATTACTGCTGATTTCGGTGCAAGGCGTGCTCGGTCTAGCCACTTCTGCAATCAAAGCACTGCGACATTTTGTCCAATAAGCCCGAAGACTGGGCACCTTTTCAGTTTCAAGACCCACAGGGGTTGTGGTTCAATCGGCACTTCGGCAGGCTTTCGGGTCTCCCTTTGTGGCCTTCCTCAAAGTTCCGCAAGGCCAACCCGTAAGGCAGCCAAGACCCCCCGTGCTACTAATGCTTGTTGCGAGAATGGTTTCGTGCCGAGTCCGGAAGCCCGGAAGCACCAGACCTCCAGATGCTAAGCCCAAAGAGCACTCATTCCGGGCGCCCAGGAAAGTGCAGCAACTCCAGGCCCTGCTCCGACTCTGCATGGTCTAGACTTGAGGGCGTTGCTCTGAGCCGAAGACAGGAGGATCCTCTCGTGGCGGGCCGGCTGGACACTGGACATGCTGGATCTCCTGGCTCGGCCGTGCTCCTCTTCGTTCACACTGAGTGGCCCGCCTTTCAGTGGAAGCCCTTGGCTTTATCAGGACCATCTGGAGATCTTTTTGCAGGAGGTACGAAGTCCTGGTTCGTTGCTTGAAGGCGACTCGTAGTATAGCTCACCCCCCAAAAAGCTTAGGTCGCAATTGCTTTCGGAAGAATCTGGACTTGTGGTTGGACTTTTGCTTTCATGTGAATGTGGGATGTCTCTGGCTGTTTGGAATGGTACTTCTTGGCTTCAACTGTTCTGCAACCGCTTTGGCAGAGCCCTCGTGCAGATGGGGCAGAGATGACGAGGGGAATGTGTTCCTGGGTTTCAGTCGTTTGAGCTCGCAGCGGAACGAGTCATGCCATTGTGGGCGATGCTAGGTTGAAGATCCCCTTCTCGTGTGGCGGGCACGAGGTGATTGACAGCGTTGAAAAGGCCTTGGACAGCAGGCACATGAAAAAGACACACGTTAGTTAGTTACAACTGTCACTACTTTGGAAGCACCTAGTTACCTGGGAGCAGCAAAAGTGGCAACCATCCAGTTACAGTAACATCCGCTGTCCTGATCATCCTGCGCTTCGTGTTGAGGGATTTGATGCGCAAGGTGGAGGAGCTGCCTGAAACGGCTGAAGCTCTTGCAGGACAACAAGAGGCTGCGATCAAAGTTCAAGCTGTGACATTGCATCATCACGTCTCTGGTTGCAGCGATCCATCGGTTCCTGCACACGTGTATAACTCCACATCGACCGATGGGTGTGCTGTGCTCCTCTTCTCCACACCCCACCATAGCGCTCCGTCCTGCGCATCCTGCGCCCATGAACATTTTCCACAACAGGCATATGCAGTTGGTATGTGTTGCAATAGCGACGTTACCCAGGTCAAAGATAGACAGGGCCCTCCGGCAAAGCGAGGAGAAACATTGAATGAACGCAGACGAAAGCTCCACTTTCGAAAGGATCATGGTGGTCGTTCCTGTCACGTAAAAACGTGAGCCAAGGAAATCTGGTATTCCACACTTGTGGCCAGCTACAGGGTAGTCGTGTGGGGAGTAGAACGGGGAAACCTTGGGAGGTTCCGAGAGCCTCAGGACCATTGGCAAACCTTCACGTACCTGACTGTTTCCAATTGACGTGTTGTGACAAACCGCACCCAAGCCGGAGCCACGGCGATGTTTACCATAGCTATGACAATCTCAACACCCGTTCACCGGTAAAACGGGTGGCCAACATCGCCTCAGAGGGTTTGTGGATGCCAACAGTGTGAAATCGATGCAATTCCTCCGATATGGGACAGAGGTTGTTCCGCGACGATTTCGGCCGGCGATTCGTTTTGCTGAAATGTCGACGTTGTCAATGGCAACTTGATGGTAATTTTTACTTGTCGCAGACGATGGCAGACTGTTTAGGGTCGCTGTTTGTGCATCGTTCGAGCTCAAGTTTGAACACCTTTCAGCCGGAGCCGCTGGTAATCTGGTAGCCGAGCTCGGTAACATGCCGGTTAGTCTCGATCTCTGGCCATAATTCGGGTCGTCACGGTGACAGGACGGCTTCGTGGATTGTTTCAGCTCGAGCATGACGTGGTTGAATGTTCAGAGTGTTTGCCGCAGTGGGAACAGGATGCCCGTAACTGGAACCCGCAACAGGAACGGGCTCCGATCCCGGAGCAGCAACCACCAGTTCCTGCAGCACCCCCCAGGCCTCCCCTCGAATCAGGAACCAGTGCAGGGCTCCAAGAATGACTTGTTTCACATCCACCTGCTCGCCAACTCAGGGACCACTTTCCGGTCCCCCACTCATACGGCTTCAAAATTTCATGTCAAGTAGTACTAGAAACTGACCTCATATGTCCACAGCAACCTTTGTCCTTAATTTCCGATGGCTACAGCATCGGTGTTGCCATCAACGCGTTTCCAGAATAACACTGCAGGTGTCTGCTGCGAGTGAATTTGTCAAATTTCGTGACTTGTGCGTGCGATCGTTGACGAAGGCTCCTGTGTGTAGTCTCGGCACTTCTTTCTTCATACTTCTGGTGCTAAGAGCTGACCGAAACCCCAAACCCCCAAAGCCGTGCTCGAGCGGTTAAAGTCGCTCTCGAGCGTGCAAAGCCGTTCTCGATTGGCAAATGCTTGAACCCTTGAACCTGGCCCGTCAACCCTAAACCCCTGAACCCCGAAACCTGATAAATACCTTTACCGCTGCAGAGTCTTGAACATCTTAAAACCCGAGAGTCTAAACACGCAACTTGCAAGACCAATTCTGGAATTCGTAGTTGGTAATTCGTTGTTCTGTGGACTGTGCAACAGTGGTGAGCAGCTGCAATGCGGAGACCTGCGATCGCTCATGCACCGGACTTCATTTTGCTACAACGGTGTCGGAGTATGTGTTTGCTGAGAGCTCTTGAACAGCCCTGTGAGCCGCGCGCCATAGTGCCTGATGCCGCCTCGCTTTCATGCTGCGCAGCTGTCTGCCTGAGCTCGGTCAATCCGACGAGAACTTTTGTGTACCCCCCTGAATAATTGAGGATTTGGGGACATCCAAAAACCATTTCCGACTGAAACCTTGTCGTAGTAGTGGAGCGTCCCTGAGACTGTTCTGCCAACTTACCCTGCAATGCGGGCTCGTCCTTGCTAAGGGAAGAAACCCGTAACATCCCTCAACCCAGAAAACAAGCCAAGCTGGCGTTGCTCAGTCCACGATGGCGTGCAAGGCCTACCCCCGCCGGCAATAGTAGTGTCTTTGCCGAGTCTTTGCGGACTCTGCAGCGCCTGTCCTATCTGATAGGGTACATCATCATTAGCACGATGCATCACCGCTACTTCTGACCACCATCCGCAAATCAAGCTCCGAAGGGCCCTGAAAGGTTGGGGACTAGGGTACCGGGTGCCCTGGGGACCACCACCACAACCCCAAACCCAGCTTCCACTCCGAGGCCGTCGCCAGAACTCGGTACACTTCTCGATTTGTGCACCATAGCTTGAGCCACGTCGATCGTGGCATTGGATAGTGCGAATGAGTCCGTTCAGACTCGTCACTACTAAACTGATGCCCATTTCCAGTGCCGTTGCACCAGCATCCACTTCTGCTTCCAATGCGCTCCATGCTGTGATGGATTGCCGACATGAGCGCCATGCTATGACATGTTGCCCCCAAGTGACAAGCGCACCAGTGCGACTGCGGCTTGCGCCCACACCTAACGATGCATCACCATAAAAATGCACCGGGTCACTCATTCCGGTTTGCAGTCTTGTACCACAGCCCGAAGGTCTTGGTGCATAGCAAATAGCGCCATACCCCTACAGCCAGCTTGACTGCCTTCGTCGGACTGAGTGTGGCGATGCATGCTATTCCTCCTGTCACCGCTGCGATGTCCGGTTTACTCTTGAGTGCTAGCCACATCAAGCTTCCGATGTGTGACGAAACTTTTCTGCCTGCAGACTTTTCTTTCTTTAAAACTCGCGACAGGCCGCCGGCCGTGTTTGGGAAAACTTGTTGAGTGGATCCAGTTTTTAATTCCTCCTCTTTTGAAAGGAGACCATGATTCTACCAATTCCCTGATTGCTTTCCAATCAGTCATGTCTGCTTTTTGCCATGGAATCTATCTTTTCATATGCAGTGTCTTTCAGCTCAAACTTGAGCTCCGACTTACAAATTTTTTTGGGGGGCCTCTAGAGCTTCTTAGATGCGTCTAGAAGGCTTCAGGCCCGATACTGCGAGGTTTCAGGCTGCCACCAATGTCAGCCTTCGCCATGGAACAATTGCAACTTCGCCTTAACGCGCGAGCTTCTCATCCATATCCTCTGGATGTGCCAGTATCGGGCACCCTTCCTCTCGCTTCGAGTGCCGCAGAGGATGGTGACACAGGACCACCGCTGGTGGAATCTGCGCCTGCGCCGGCCTCTCCTGATTTTGAGGGGGTGGAATCGGCAGGAGCTTTTGGATCATCATACCCGTGGTCTCTGTTGCAGGATGATCAAGACCTTCAAGCACCAGTTTTTCCTGAGGACTTTTCAGATCATTTTGATGGAAGCATTCATCCTGAGGAATTTCTTCATGGCAGCCCTAACACAAGAGATGCTGCGGTTACTGAAGATTAAAGGGAGTGGGTATTCGCAAGTTCAGGATCATGATTTTGAAATTCCGGAAGCTTTGAATGACGAGGGTCTGGAGCCTTCAGCTCCGGTCAAGAGCGAGGAACAGAAATCAGTCCCTCCAGGGGTCTTGTGGCTGCAAGGGAAACAAGCAGAGGTTGACGCTTCCCAGATGGTCTTGGAGGCTGTCAACAAGAAGCGTAGGCTGAACTTGGCTAGACAACCCTGGCAAACCAAGCCCTCTCATCTTCAGCAAAGCTACAACATGCTTTTCAAGGGCCTTCCTGATTTGGGGGTACACGAGACCCTCGCGAACACAATTGGAAGAGATGTTTTGCCGGAACCATCGGACAGGGTCCCGTGGACGGTTACTAGAAGATTGGCCAAGCTCCGCGTCCCGAAAACGGACGCAGACATCAGGGACAGTGCTTTGAGGAGGCTCAAGACTCTGGTGCTCCTAGATCCAGAGGCCACGGCGCTTGGAAGCAGCTTGGTAGATCAAGGGAAGGCTGCTGCCGATGAGGACATCATGCAGAGTTTGTCTGATGCATTCAGGGGAAAAGCTTCTTTGACATTGCAAAAACGTTCGCTGTCTTTGCAATCATTTGTGGTGCGTTCCTATGATGCTTCTCTGGATTCTCCGTGGCGCCTCGGTGAGGGGCAGATCTATAGCCTCTTCTCGGACATCCGGGACGGAGGGTCCAAGGCGTCCACTGCGTCGCACATTCTTGAAGCATTGAGGTTCTTTAATGCAACTGCCCGATTTAAGTATATGGATTTGGAACAAGTATTATCCTCGAGGGTCCGCGGGGTGGCCTGGAATCTGGCTCAGATTGGACGCGATGCGTGGTGGGACAGTTTTTATTTTGCATACATTCTTCTTGTAGGTGGAGCGATTCGCAAAACATCATATCCCTTCACCTCACGGCAGAAGGTGAGGGGCAGCTTCTCATAGCGGAGGCTTTGGGTTCCAAGACCTCAACGACTGCGGAGGCCAAGACGCGGCCATATGTCTGTGTGGCGGCCGGGGTGAGTAACACTCCGTGGGCATACCACTGGCTGCAAGCTAGGGAGAGAGAGGGGCTTGGCTTCGACTGGGGCTGCTTACCTTCGTGGTCACAGAAATGGGGCTGTTGGAGTCAAGAGCGCATGTCTTCTGAGGAAGCTGCAGACATCCTTCTGGAGGTGTTGACGTCTCTGGAGATGCCGCCAGGGCCTGATGAATCCATTGGCACTCACAGCTTCAAGACCAAGACCACTCTCATTACGTGGAGTGGATGGTCGTCTGCAGTTACTTTCTCTCCTAAAGAAAGGCTTCTCATGGGTCATCATTTGAGAAAGGGGGGAGCATCTTCTACACTTATTTACAGCAGACAATATTACATCAACCTGGCAGGGAAATTGTTGGCGATGTTCCGGACCATCAGGCGGGGGGACTTTGATCCCGATTCTGAGGTGTCAGACAGGGTGGCAGCGATAGCCACCGCATTCGCAGAAGAGGGTCCCTCCAGGGGCCACCAGCCGAGGCAGGTTGAAGAGCACCAGGAGGGGGCGGCGGACGTCGAGTCCTCGGAGTCGGCAGAGTCAGCTGTTCCTTATGCTCCTATGCCCCGGGCAGGCAACATCATCAGGCCCCCTTTCAATTGCACCATGGCAGAGCTTAGGGTGCACACGCTGTCAGGCATAGTTCATCGGCTCAGGGATGAATCCAGCTTCTACTGTGGCAGGCCCCTGACTGGAAGGTACAGGGATTTTGAAGAAGACGATGCGGATGACCCAGACACCTGCCATCAGTGCAGGAGGCAGGAGGGTCATGTCAGGCGCTGACTGAGTGAGAGTTTTCCGAGTTTCATGTTGCAGGCGGCTGCATAAATTTCAAGATTCACGAGATCTGTATGAGACCCCACGTTGGGCAGAAAAGATCTTGATGGGTGCAGGGTGTGACCCAAATCATATAGTTGTCCGCCGGCGATCAGCCCGTGGCGGCTACGGCTCCGGTTCACAGAACCCGCGGAGTCCAAATAGTAGGGGCCGGTCCTTGCGGCCCGAGGCTGAAAGTGCTCATTGGCAAATCTTCATATCCGTCGTCATCAGGAGAATCCAGCTGAACAAAAGCTCCGGTACAAACCCCGCGGAGCCATTACCAGGAGGCCGGCTTATTCAGCCCGGGCCCGAGAGGCGAGGCCCTCTTAAAGTATCTCCATACTGCCTGAAGAGCCAGTGAAACTTTTTGCGCCGGCCTTTGCCCGAGGCGTCATACATTGTGTCCGTCAGCGATAGATCAGATGTGTAAAGCTGTGCCGTCAACTAAATCACACTGATTGGTGCAGGTATCTACCTGAGCGAGCATACCGAAACTTTTTGCGCCGGCTACTGCCCGAGGCGATCTACTTGGTATCCGTCAGTGATAAGCCTGACCGGGAAAGCTGTGCCGTCAATTAGATCATCTAAAATGGGGCTGGGATTGTCAAGCTGCTTTTCGGGATGTAGCCCGACCCTGTCCTGGCTCAGGCTCACGAACTGAGGACGAGTTCCATGCATGACACATGCTTCAACATAGGCTGCATAACAGTTCTGAGTGAGCGTAGCGCGCAGTGAAGCCATGTCCTCAACAGTGTTGGACAGCGAAGCTTCTTTCCGTGAGCGTTGCACTAGGATTGGCCTCAGTCGTGAACTTCTCGATCGACTGGTCGATGCCGGATACAATACCTTCGGGAAGTTGGCCTTCGCGGCCTCATCAACCCCACAGGGGCTCACAGACGAATCAGTGGACAGCTGGCTTGCAACAGTTGTCACGCCAGCACCCTCAGCCTTTCAGATATCAGTTATCAGGAGGTTGTTGTATGAGTCGCATTCTTTAAACGTTGCGGATTTAAAATCAAGAGTAGAGGGTAGTGCAGAAGGATCAGTGCGCAAGCTTCCGCAGGCAGAAAGGAACGAGCGCATTGAGGCCCAAAGGCGCAGGCTGTCAGGACTCATCCTGACATCGCATACAACTCCGGCTCACTCTTGCATTGACCATGTGACTGACATGTACGAAAATAATACCCTGAAGTATCTCCCGATTAACAGGTGGGTCTCGAGGTTTCAAGAGATGTCTCTTCAGAAGAAGGATTCCTCAATACAGATGGACAATGAAGGAAACCTTAAGGTAATCCGGAAGCAGGCAGATCCAACCTGCGACACAACCGGCATGTACGCTCTTCGCCAGGCCTTTCAGAGAAGATCTCTGGCTTTTGATGTCGGGAATCTTTGTACCTTTGAGGCCTTCGAAACATGGATCAACAAGTTATTCGAAGCAGTGCAAAGAAGCGTTCCCAAAGGATACACTTCGGTTACTTTAGGCCAGATAGTGGTTGCTGATCGGGAGATGTTCGTTAGGCTCGCCGACCGGTTCGAGGGGCAGCTGCAGAAGCCCATCGGGGCCGAGAAGCCCATGGATTCAGCTTTGCGCGAACTGTCAGAAAGCCACGACACCAATCAGTTTCTGCAGCCTCTTGCAACTCCGCCTCAGCCGCATCCCACTAAGCGTCCGCATAAGACCACAGAAACCGAGACCCCATCGAAAGGTCCAGGCAAGGGCAAGGGCCCCGGCAAGACCACAGGGAAATCCGCCAGCGTCGTCATTCCAGCGGGATGCTCTGCCAAGGACTCGCAAGGTCGGCCGAACTGTTTTGGGTATAACTTGGGGCGCTGTAAGCTTAAAGTCACTAAGGGTCGATGCCCGCGGGGGTTCCACCAATGTTGGCGCTGCTTTGGGGACCACCCGTTTTCGGAATGCACTCAGAATGTTCAGTGAGGAGGCCGTTCGGGGTCTCAGGGGCCAGACCTCGTGGCCACGTCAGATCCTGCCCCACATGGAGCAGAGGCCTTTGCACAGTCCATTTTGGCGCGAGGGTCAGGAGTCACTAATGCTGATGTTGCACGCTTGTTCGTTTTTTTGCCTAAGGAGGTTCCCTCAAGGGGTCCGTCATCGCAGAGTGCAAGTAGCTTTAGCTGCGGGGCTTACGCGAAAGGTGGGCTACAAGGCTTGCGCACTGAGTGCGCGAATTTTCCTTCTAGTGTGCAGGTGTTGACAAGCTTTGTCAAGGCCTCTCTTCCCGGACATTTCTTCAGTACGATCACATGGTTTCACAACACAAAGACCGATTTGCATGTTGATTCTAGGAACCATCATACGCCTAATGGAGTCATACCGGTCACCTCTTTTCGAGGGGGAGGCATCTGGGTGGCAGACGGGAGTGGACCAGTCTCCCGCGTGGTAAAGGGCGAGCATGTGCGAGGAACCATTCTTGATCTCTCGTCACCTGTGACTTTCAACGCTTATCAGTATGCGCATCAAACAGAGGCTTGGCAGGGAAACCGTCTAGTTTGTGTGGCCTTTACGGTGTCAGACTTGAGCAAGCTATCAATGGAATCTGCTCATCGCCTCTTGAAGTTAGGTTTTAGGCCCCCTCCTAACCTAGCCTTTCCGATCCCCATTGCTTCTCAGGGTGCGCCTCCTTTGGCGACAAGCGCCTGGGTGTACGAGCTTTTCGCAGGCACTGCAAGGTTCAGCAAGGCATGCCGCGATTTGGGTTTCAAGGCCTTAGGTTTCGACCATAGTGGGTTTCAACCATGCTCGGCGACAGCTAAGATTGACTTGACGTCGTCAGCAGCTCAGAAGATTTTCTGGGACATTATGGCTTTGGGATTTTTGGAAGGTCCCTTTACTGAGAAGGAGGTGTCGGGTTTCTTCCACACGGAGGACTGGAATTGCATTCGCAGGTTCCTGATTCTCCAAGGAGCCGAGAAGAAGCCCAGGCCGATCGATGATGGCCACGAAGCCTTGATAAACAACTGCTGTACATCGACGATCAAGCTTGAGCTGCAATCCTCTGACTTTGTCACCTGCATGGCGAAGACGTTGGCTCGCTGCGAATCTGAACGATCAAAGCTGAACAGCACTTCTTTCAGACGCTGGCTGGGAAAGTGCCTCGATCTCTCCAACTCCAAAGCTTACAAGCAGCTCCCGACGAAGAAGGAGCACAGGTCCCTCGCGGTGGTGTATCACAAGTCTGAGTCTGGTGAGGACCAATTCTTCGTCACGAATAGCCTCATGTTCGGGCTTACATCTGCTGTCTACGCTTTTGTCCGTACCAGTCGTAGCATACAGAAGTTGCTTTCGAAGCTGTTCATGTTGCCGTCCTCGGTATATTTTGATGACTATCCGATGTATGCGACCGAGGGGACAGCGGAGCAGACAGATTTGATCATTTCTGAATTCCTGGACATTTTGGGCTGGGCCCACGCAAAGACAGGAACCAAGGCCCAGCCCTTCAACGACGTCTTCTCTGTTCTCGGAATGCAAATCGATTTAAGCCGGATGGCCGATGGGAGCATCGTCCTGTCGAACAAACCTGGACGCGTTGAAAGAATCATCGACAGACTTTCGTCTGTCGCTTCCGAGGGACGCCTCACTGGTCACGAAGCTCAGGTGCTCTTGGGCCTTTTGAATTTTTCATCTGGGTTTTTCGCAGGCCGCGCTTTGAAGCAATCCTGCAAATGGCTCTCGGGTTACTTGTCAGGAGACAGACCGACATCAGCCGTGATCAAGCAGATGTGCAACCACGCCATACAGGTGCTGCAAAATACCCCTCCTCGTTTCATCGATTGTGGCCCGTCCGACGAGGCGCCGGTCCTAGTTTGGACGGACGGCTCCTGGGAACCATCGACGGGCTTTGCAGGGATTGGCGCGGTTGTGCTTGATTCGAAAGGTGGTGCTGCCTCTGTCTATGAAGGAGTGGTGCCTGACCTTTTGCTCAAACGATGGCGAGACGAAGTAGGCGACCAAGTGATTTGTGAGATTGAGTTGTACGCCTTGCTGATGCTCAGAGTTGGCCTGCAAAACATCCTCTCTGGACGGAAGGTTATCTTTTTTATCGACAACGATGCAGCACGTTCAGGGGTGATACGTGGTCAAAGCAAGAGTCAAGCGATGCATCGCTTAGCCTTGGCTCTGGCTGCGGTTGAATCGACTTCGCCATGCATCTCTTGGACAGAAAGAGTCCCTTCGGCGTCCAACATAGCCGATCTTCCTTCGAGAAAGGAGGGCTGGAAGGCACAGAGGATTGTCAGAGCTGCAAGTGTCAGTCCCTTTTTCGAGGATCTCTCGCTGCTGAAAGCTTACCTGCTCTGAGTTCGTCGATCCGAGGGGGTGAGAACGGGACAAACTCTTGAGCGGCTTACAAGCCCGGCTCATGCGCATCGGCTGCGGCCCGGATGTGATTGGTTCCGAGAATTCGTTTACACCCCTGATCGCTGAAAGAGAAAATGAAGAGAGCGCGTGTTCTTGTCAACAGCTTCCTCAACTTATAGATGCCTTTCACGAGGCAAAATATCAGAAGTGACAGAACATATTTCGGATCAAGTTTTTGACATTTACATTTATCTTGATGGATTGCTGAGCACACGATTTCTGTCAGGTCCTTACGATACATTTTTATTTGCGTATAACATATTAATATGAAAGACATATTGGATTGGACTCGGTGACAGACGAGCTATGACAAACATCGCGAGTTTGAAAGAAGAAACTTTTCTGCCTGCAGACTTCTCTTTCTTTAAAACTCGCGACAGGCCGCCGGCCGTGTTTGGCAAAACTTTTTGAGTGGATCCAGTTTTTAATTCCTCCTCTTTTGAAAGGAGACCATGATTCTACCAATTCCCTGATTGCTTTCCAATCAGTCATGTCTGCTTTTTGCCATGGAATCTATCTTTTCATATGCAATGTCTTTCAGCTCAAACTTGAGCTCCGACTTACAAATTTTTTTCCGCCCGCCCAACCCTGACATCTGGGAGGGGGGGTGAGAACGGGACAAACTCTTGAGCGGCTTACAAGCCCGGCTCATGCGCATCGGCTGCGGCCCGGATGTGATTGGTTCCGAGAATTCGTTTACACCCCTGATCGCTGAAAGAGAAAATGAAGAGAGCGCGTGTTCTTGTCAACAGCTTCCTCAACTTATAGATGCCTTTCACGAGGCAAAATATCAGAAGTGACAGAACATATTTCGGATCAAGTTTTTGACATTTACATTTATCTTGATGGATTGCTGAGCATACGATTTCTGTCGGGTCCTTACGATATGTTTTTATTTGCGTATAACATATTAATATGAAAGACATATTGGATTGGACTCGGTGACAGACGAGCTATGACAAACATCGCGAGTTTGAAAGAATGTGCAGTCTTCAAATCCTCAGCGAAACTAGCTTCACGGGGATCCGGCAGGATGGTGCCTTCTGGCAGCTCCGGCAAGGATGCGCTGGACTTCAGATGCAAAAGCCCTCGCTTTATGCTCAACTTCCACCAATGTGTTTGATGAATGAACACACCGGCTACCTCTCGCTTCAGCTTGCACCCAAGGAATGTTAGTTAACTTCGCACGGGGATCTCAAGGCCACCGAAAGTGAACACATCATGATCCGCAAAATCCCTTGAGCATAACATGCCTTGAATCTTCAATGTCCACGACTCCATAAATGCTTTTGCGAGGGCAGCGGCTAGGGTTGGGGGTCCCGCCAAAAGCCCATCGTCCATCGGGACCAACTACTCTTTTTGCCTCAACCTCTGCATCTCTGTCATGCTCCCAGAGCTTCGGACTACGGCGTAGCCCGTAAAGCGCCCGCTTCAATTTCCACAGCACTGATCCACTGACGATGTTGCGCTTGACCAATGCTGGCGGTGGGGATACGTACACATCCTCACCCTGGATCTTTGCGTTTAGAAACGCGCCACTGATGTCCAACACGAGTCCTGTCCAATCTTGGTGTCGTGCCAACAAACTTGAGGCGATTCGAATCGCTTCTGCTCCAGGGTTCAAAGATTGGTTTTCTGGGGCATGTGGTGTTGTACCCTTTTCCCAGTTTCCGCACACCACCAACCTCACCTTGGCCTGCCAACTCTTCAACGATGCGTCCTCAGCTGATGGAATGCCCTCCACCTCATCAGCAACGGTCTCCACCGGCTTGCGTTTCAACACTAACTTTGTCGGGATCGGCTTCACACCTGCGGGGACCTTGCTTTTCTCGACTCTACCTCATCATAGACGTCCTTGCTGGCAAGATTGTCAAGCTCTGTGCCCACGCCCTCGGTGAGCCATTTTTCCAACTCTGCTTCTGATATGGTGTTTCCCGTCAGAATGCTCTGCGAAACAGTCTCGCCTACCTCCATGGTACCTTGAGCTTGCGTTGCTAGAGTCCGCTCAGGCGCATTCATCTCCTCCTCAAGGTGATGTGCCAAGATGTAGTACTTCTCCTTAGCCTCCTTGTTGCGGCGTTGGGTGACGTCCAATTCCTGCACTCGGCATCACATCATCAGAGGAGTGAACCAGGAAGCCATGTCCACAGAGTGTAAACAACCTCTCCGCAACTTCAGCTCCCTCCGGATTCGCAAGCTTATACTTCATCATGGCAGTGACATCGTCAGCTGAAGTCACCTGCGGCCTCTTCGACCGTCAGCATGTCGATCGGCGGAGCGTCCCACTTCAGATCCCCTTCGGTGGAAATCCATACCATCTGTCCTTCCGCAGGTCCTTTGACCACCCTCCAACGCTTCTTCACTTGATCACTCAGCACTGGAAGGCGAACGATTCGGACCGAAGTTTTTTCCCCGCGCTTTACCATGACTCGGGCCCCACCTGGAGTCCGTTCGTCATTTGCCAGGGAAAGGGCTTCCTCAGCTTTAGGCTCGAAAGCTTCTGCTACCCTTGCAGTTCGCCTGACCAGAACAGTGTCGCATAGTGTCGCCCATCTTCGGACGATCAGCCGGTCGTGACAGCTGTAATGCTTTCTGACGTCGTAGGAAGACATGCCTCGAGGACTGCCTCACTCCACAATCTCAAGGGCAACCTACCGTGCAACAACAATGAAGCCGCTGAAGACTTGATCAGTCCTACTAGCCGCTCTGCCTTCCCATTCTGTTGGGGAGAGTACGGAACACTCGTTGTCGGCCAAAGACTCAATCTCTGGACTTCCGCAATGAACGCCTTACCGACAAACTCCTTGCCGGCATCCGAATGAATCCGGAACACTTCGGGGATACCCTGACTGAGCGACACAATCTGGCACATGATGGAGCTCAAAGCTCGTGCTACTTCCTCGGCTCCTTTTGTTTGCGCACGAAAGGTATGTCTGGGAATCCACTGCCCATGCACAAGTTTGCGACTAGGAAGTAGAGATGACCTGGAAACGCTGCTGGATAAGGACCTGATAGGTCCATGGACAAAGTACCCTTGGAGACATCACTCGGATCAAGCCGCCGACATTTGCGCTTGAAACCGTGCGCCTCCAGACATGTGGGGCACCTCCGCTCATAAAGGCCTTTGCTGCATTGCTGCGACAGCCGTTTGCTTGAAGGCGTGCCTTTCCCTGGAAAGATGATGAAAGACCATGCTCATCAGAAACAGTTACGCACGCCGCAGGCCATTGCTCATCACACGATGGCTCTGGCACGGGCTCACCCTGAAGCCTGCACGTGACCCCACAAACCTCACAAGGACCCTCAGGAACAAACTCACGCACAGCATCACCGTCACCGTCATCGTCATCTTGATTGGGTGCTTTCTGAATTGTGCTGACTGCAACTGCCGAGGCTGCTACTGATTGCACGTGGGTTGGAATCCTGAATCCCAACTCACTAGGTTAGCAGTGATGTTGCGATTCGCCTTGCTAAAACGACTGGGTGTAAATGCTGAAAGCCTGCTGCGGGTGCCCTGGTGGGCCTCTGCTCCATGCCATACCTTGCCATTGAATGTGACTGCGGCTCCTGAGACCGAAAGCAGTCGACCAACCAGAACCTTCTGATCTGCTACTCGTCGCTTTACAGTACCATCGACATCCTCAACCCACAGTTCTCCAGCATCCCGGACTATGCTCCAGACATTTTCGTGGGTGAATTGCTCACTGGATAACATCTCCTTCGCCTTGGCCTCAGACCGCTCAACATCGTCAAGCTCTGATTGCGACTTGTTGATGGTCACGTCTTCGTGTGCCCAGGTCTGCTCTGCTAGTTGTTCTGGGGTGCCTGTGTCACACATCCGCACTTGCTGTGATGTGACATCTACTGGGCCTTCCCTGGCGCTTGCTGCTGTGGTTGTCTTGCCCTTGTAGCTGAGGGATAGAAGGATGCGGATAGGCTTGAAGTCTGTCCACGTGATGTAAGGGAGGCCATTTAGGACCTGACATACGACCTTCGTGTACTGCTTCCACTCATTCCAATACCGCAGCAAAGCACCCGATTCATCCCAACAGAACATGCCTCCAGCTTGAACGAGGCGCCACACACTGAGTAGCCATTCTTGGCTGTCATCGGATGATCTAATGAATGCATAATTCGCCGTCACGAGATCTGAGGGCCTCCACGCGGTCACCACTGGCTCTAGTAACTGATGTCTGCTTGCATCCTGCAGTGCTCATGGTCGATAGCCACGGGCGGATTGTTTCATTTGCCCCCAAATCGACAAGGACCCAGGGCTCTGACCCTTGAGCTCGTGATACCTGTGCATGCCCCTCATCTTGGCACTCCAGCTTTGCTCCAAAAGGCTCAGCATCCGGCTCTCCTTCTGAGGGCGCGTGCTCGACATCTTGATATCTATGATGAGCCCATGCTCAGATATCCGGCAATTCCTCTACCGAAATGTAACCTCGGTTGATGGCTTGTGAGGCTTCTAGAATCTTGCGTCGAGGAGCTGCGGGAATGTCTGTCAAGTCGTCTTCTCTCAGAAGATCCAAGTCTTGTATGGTTTCAACCCCAAGTGAACTCAGGATTCTCGCGTACCGTGTGGCATCGATCATGTCCAGCATGCTGAGAAGGGGGTCCGACTCTGGCTCCTCCTCGGAACTACCGTCGAGCTCGCCGGGGTTGGATTCCTCGGGTGATGTCTCCTCCTCAGTAGCTGTAGCTACCTCTCTAACCACAGCACGGTCATCGGCAAATTCAAGGGCAGTGCCTACCGGGACTGGGTCAGGTTCACAAGGCGATGCTGTCGCAGTCTCTATCAACAGGCGTGCCACATCTGAGTCAGGATACACTGCCCTGACATAATTTGCAACTCTCAGCCGTTGTCCCGTGGGGGTCACGCTGAAGAGCTCCCGATGTGTAAAACCGTCCCGACAGCACTCCCATGCCTGCCACTCTAG